GATTGTGTGCTTTCGATTGTGTGTATTCTCTGCTCTCAGCTAAGATCCATCAGATATCAGCAATGATATCCCTCGTTCCTTGTCTGAATCCAGCTTGAACCTCTGGAAGTTCTTTGTCAAAGTATGCTTTCAGCTGTTTCTGTATTAGTTTTAGTAAAACTACTCACATGGGATGTCAAAGGGTTTGTCCATTGATTTCCACATCCCATTGGGTCACCTCTCTTTAGAATGGGCACAAATATGGATCTCTTCCAATTAGTTGGCCAGTTAGTTGTCTTTCAAATGTCTTGGCATAGATGAGTGAGTGCCTCCTGTGCTGCCTCACTTTCTTGAAGGATTTCAATTTTTATTCCATCAATTTCTATTAGGTAATTGATTAAGGAAGTGAACAGGGTACAGTTCAGGATCAGAAACAACTTAGGATGCACCAGTTCTCCAGTCAAGAATGCCTCTTCTCTGCCGTACTCAGGCAGCCCTTAATCTTCTCTTGGGTCTCTTAGCACTTTTTTTGGGCAATGTTGAGTATAACCTAACTATTCAATTCTGACTCTGCCTCGTTTACAGGATGCATCTGATGGGTTGTTATGTATTAGTCTGCCTCTCAGATCAGATTGTTTCAGCATCTTTGTTTGATTTCTCATTGAAAACAGAAGGAATATCATTATTACTAAGGGGAAAGTCTGATTTATAAAAGTATCAGTTTGCATATTATCATGATCAACCTCTTACATTTAATGACATTACTTTTTAGAAGACTGGTTTAGTAGGGGTAATGAATTTGCTGCATTTTAGTCTGCAGAAAAATTTGTGGTAGTGAGTGATGTGTGGATACTGATAATCAAATTGAGCCATAAGGTTATTTGAAATTATTATTGTAATTCCCCTTTTTCTTTTTTTTTCTTTTTTATGATTATAAAACTGCTGCACATTAATTTCAAGAAATTATTAAAATATATCCAGTCCTGGTGTGGTGCTATAGGATAAGCACTGGACTGTTAAACACAAGGTCGGTGGTTCAAACCCACCAACCACTTCTTGGAAATCCTATACAGGATCCCACCACTCATCTGTCAGTTTGTCATACTGTGGTAACTGTGATTTCGGAAGCTATGACACAGGTATTTTAAATACCAATAGGCAGACCAGCCTGGAACAGCTAGAGCAACAGAAGATACATCTTCAAAGAAACACCATCAGGAAAAACCCCAAACAAAAATGTCAGCATGACTGGCTACCACAAGAATAAGCAAGCTGTTCGCCAAGAAGCCATCAAGGCAAGCAACCAAGACCCTTCAGGACAAAC